AAATCATTATGACTTAATAGATATAAAGTACATGTCCTCTAAAAGCAGAAGGCTGAGTTACAGAGTACTAATTCTATTCCTTATTTCATCCCAGAAAAAAAAATTCCTGTTTAGTATACAATTCATTCCTCATGTTTGATCCTGAACACATCACCAATTTTGAGAGACATTATAATTGGTTATCTTCACATCTATAGTGTATACCTCTTTTAATTTTTGAATGGTTGGTGTAATCTCTTCTTCAAGTATCTAAAAAATAAAGGAAAAAGTATGTAAAGTACCATTAGGAAAAATAACATGGGAGCTAAGGAAAATGAATAGGAGAAAATTTCCTTCTTTATAGGAAAGCAATGTCAAAAAAAATCACTGTCTTCTTTATAAACATTTCATATAGGGCCTCCCCTGGTGGCGCAGCGGTTGAGCACTGGGTTGCAAAGCTGCCCGCAGCCTCTGCAGCTCCGGTTCGATCGAGCGCCCCCAACAAGGGTCCCACATGACGTGACAGACCTCTCTGCTGCTGCGCCCACTGCTCCCCTCAGTAGTGTATTTCGTCAATCTGCCTGTTCTGTTCCCAGCTCTGGTCTGGTGAATTCTCTCACCCTTCCGCACTTCTGACTGTACCCAGTGCTTGTTATAAATAAATAAACAAATCTTTAAAAAAAAATTTAGACATTTTATATAAATTTCATTACCGTCTTAATTTCTTTAAGCTTAGCCTCCTTTTTCTATAGTTTTCTGGGCAGCTATTTTTTTGTATTCATACATCCTGGTTCCAGCCGCTTCTTCTATCATGGACAAAATCTGTAATGACATTGAATAATATTTTAAGAATCCACGACAATGCGCTACATAAAGTTCACACTAAGAATACCATTTAAGGCCTTGACCTTAGCACCCTACCAAATAATGGCCAAAATGGATAATGGAAGTACATAAAAATGTACATACCAGCATAATCCTAACATTGAAGAAACATTTCTGGCCTCTAATTCTAAAAAAAAATTCTGCTACTGAATTTCCAGAAAACATCTCTTTAAAATTGAAGCCAGTAATTTCTCCCTCCTGATTTCCTTCAAATTCAAATCTAAAAAGGCAAAAATAAGACTAACATCATTCAGATTTCAACAGCCGTGCCTACTGAAAATTCTTCCAAGTGAGACCAATCATATTTTATGTCTACGAGGATGAAAAATGGCATAACATTTGCATCTCAACTGTGGCAATGCTTTCAGAACTTGAACAAGTCACGTAATATTCTCTTTGCCTCAGTTTCTTTATCCACAGTATCACTAATACCTCATAACATTTAAGAACTTAAAAAAATAAATCCTTTGAAAAGCACTCTGAAAAAAGTAAATATTAATCAGTTTTAACATTATAAGGATAATTCTGTCAGTATACCTTTTTCAAAAATGTCTATATTCTATCAATTCCTATTTCAAGGATTATTTCTTTGAAACCACCTTGATTTCTATGTATTGACAGTTTTTAAATTAGAAGTTTTCGTTAAGATGTTGTCTAAAGATAGAATTTATAAGGGGAGAGAGGATCAACATGGTGGTGGAGAAACGCTACCAGTAAGTTCTCCCATAAAACCGGTTAATAGGGAGGAAAAGCGGCAGGTCCCTGGGAGAACCGGGACACGGAAGATAAATGGGCGACTCTGGCAAACTGCGCAAAGAGGAAAGTTACAATAAAAGAGGACGAGAAGAGAGGAAAGCTCAGAACCTTGCTACCCTCCGCCACCCACAAAGCCGGCACTCTCCGACCAATAAGAAGGAGAAAAAAAAAAAAAAAACCAAAAAAACAAGAGCAAACTAGAGATCAAGTGGGACAGTGAGTGGAAAGGAACTACTGCAGGCACAACAACCCAAGACCGGGAACTATGGAGAATCCTGCGGGAACGCCAAGGAGGTGAGTGAATGGCTCCTGGCGCCACTGGAGGAAGAAAAGGACTCCGCAGAGAGACCTGCAAATAGCCAAAGGCCAGGCAGTAAACTTGCACGGAAAAGCGCACCCGCGCTGGAAAAGCATACGCGGATCGTGGCTGCCCAGATCCCTGGGACCTAGGTTTGTGGGGAGATGTGAGGGAGCCGGCACTGAGGTGAATGACCCTCACTGGGTTATCAAAAACCAGGCGCCTGGGCACTGGAGCAGGGTGCAAAGGTGCCATTTCTGACAACACTGAACTGGGCTACCGCGGCGCCCCAGATCTGAGGGCTTCAGAGCTGAAAACCGAGAGTGAAATTCAGGGCGGGGGGGATCCCCACACCACGCGGCACAGGGCATACACAGCACCCCCACACCGTTGAGGCATTCCACGCCACCCCCACTCAGTTCGCCAGGAGACCCACAGGGCAAAAGCACAGTTCTGGAAGGATACTAGGAAAGATCTCTGCTGCCACCTAATGAACAGAACAAAATCACCCACTTCCTAGTAGTCGGAAGCCAGGGTTTTCAAAAACCCCCCTCCGGCTCTGAGAGAGGGCAGGCCATACAAACAGGGGTAAGAATGGAAACAAGGCATGGAGCAAGACCCCATTCTGGAACTGAGAGCCAGGCATAAGATCTGGGGCATGGGATTTGCCGTAACAGTGGGCACTGCACAGAGTGACAGCTGGTGTTTTGGATCTGAGACCCTGGGATTGAGAATTAGAGTGCAGAATTCAGGGCACAGCAACAGGTGAACATGGGGCACACAGCTTCCAGCGTGAGCAATCCGCCCCTGTGTTGAGGTGCTCTCCTACCCCAGCCCCACCCAGTTTCTCAGAGAACTATGGGGAAAAGCACAGGTTGGCAAGTACAGATCTCTGGTGCCACCTAGTGACCAGAGCAAAATCACCAACTAGCTGATTCCCTGCTGGAGCTGAGTAAATATGGAGGGAGGGAACTGTAACAGACTGAGCCCAGCAACACAGCCACAGCATCAAAACCCTAGTGGAGTTTTGGCCTAAAGTGCTGGTCTCAGTCTGGTAAACAGTTTCTGACACCCTTGAGAAGCAATCCAAAGAGACGCCCGCCAACACCAGTGGCACAACATCTCAATGCACAGAACTAAATAGAAAGCAAACAGAAGGGAGAAGGAAAAATATAAATAATCGAGCAAGCCCACAGGGGAAGGACACACCACAAAAAGAAAATCAGTCACCAGAACTCAACAACAATGACATGGAAGAACTTCTCTGCCTGTCAGAAAATTTAGATTCATCATGATAAAAAGTGTAAAGAATACGGAAAGGAAAAAAATTATATGAGACAAAATATCAATGAATTGAAGAACGAAAATGAGACCTTAAGAAAGGAAATAAAAAGAGGAGACTAAAAGATTACTGGAGGAGACAGAGAGCTCTCGGAAAAGCATTGAAAACAGAATTGAGGAAATGGAAGAACGGATCAGTACTCTTGAAGATACAGAAATAAAAGAACCAGAAATAAAAGAAAGAGAGAGAGAAGTACAAAGGAAGAAGAATGAGGACAATATTCAAGAATTATCAGACTCCACGAGAGGAAATGTAAGAGTTACAGGCATTCTAGAAGGTGAGGAGACAAAGGATCTGAGAAATTATTCAAGGAGATAATAGAAGAAAACTTCCCAAACATGAAAAAGGAGATGAATATAGACATGCCAGAAGTGAGAACACCCAATTACCACAGTGAAAAGAAAACTACAGCAAGACACATAACAGTAAAGCCTGCAAGAGTCCAAGACAAAAAAAAAAAAAAATAATGAAACTAGCAAGGGGGAAGAAACAGATAACTTTTAAGGGAAAATCAATCAGGTTAACCTCAGACTTCTCTGAACAAACACTACGGGCAAAAAGAGAATGGAGTAACATTCAGCAGACTTCAACACAGCAAATGCCAACCAAGAATACTTTACTCTATAAAGCTCTCCTTCCTCTATGAAGAAAAAATATGGACCTTTTCAAACAGACTCCAGAAATTCATTACAACCCCAACTAACCCCACTCCAAAAAATTCTACAAGAAGTCCTAAAGCCAAAACCAACAGTGGAATGATTAAGAACAGAATAAAGTGAGGAATGAAATCACAAAAAAGACAAACAAAATGGCAAATACAGATACCAACATATCAATATTAACTCTAAATGTAAATGGATTAAACTCATCAATAAAGAGACACAAATTAAAAAAACAAAATCCAACGTTCCGCTTTCTCTAGGAAACACATTTAACCACAAAAATAAACACAGACTTAAAGTAAAGGTTGGAAAACAATTCTACATGCAAATGGACCAAAAAAAGAAGACAGGAACAGCTACACTTCAAGTTAAAAAAGGTAAAAAGAGACATTGATGGACACTACATTATGATCAAGGGGACAATACATCAGGAAGCTATAATACTCATGAACATATACTCACCAAATGAAGGAGTACCAAAATATATTAGACAATTATTATCAGCTCTGAAAACAGACATTAAAGAAAATACATATATAGTGGGAGATTTCAACACCCCATTCTCACCAATGGACAGATCAACGAGACAAAAAATAGACACTAGAGCCCTAAATAAAGACATAGAATTCATGGACTTAACAGACATCTATAGGACACTGCACCCAAAAAAATCTGAGTACACATTTTTCTCAACATGCACAGATCATTCTCCACAATCGATCACATTCTGGGCCACAAGACAAACATCAACAGATACATGAAGATCAAAATCATTCCAAATCATTCTCTGATCATAAAGGCATCAAACTAGAAGTAAATCATGAAAAGAAAACAAGGAAGTCTCCCACTTCATGGAGATTGAAATCCACACTACTGGAAGACCACTGGACTAATGAGGAGATCAAAGAAGAAATTGAAAAATACTTTGAGTTGAATGACAAGGAGGACACCACTTTCCAGAATGTATGGGATGCAGCAAAAGCAGTAATAAGAGGAAAATAGGTAACAATACAGGCTCACATCAAAAAACAAGAAAGAGGGCCTCCCTGGTGGCACAGGTGGTTGAGCGCCGCACTGTGAAGCTGTCCACAGCCTCTGCAGTGCGGGTTCAATCCTGGCCGGCCGGCGAGGGTCCCACATGGCGCGGCAGACCTCTCCTGTCTCGCCCGCTGCTCCCCTCAGCTGTGTATTTCATCAGTCTGCCTGTTCTGTTCCCCACTCTGTCTCTGGTGACTCCTCTCACCCTCCCGCACATCTGCCCTATACCCCGGGGTTCTTGTATAAAAATAAATAAATCTTAAATAAAAAAAAAAAACAAGAAAGAACTCAAAGAAACAACCCAATCTCATATCTCAAAGAGCTTAAAAAAAAAAAAAAAAAAAAAAAAACAGCAAAAAACACCATAAAGCCAGCAGAAGATAGGAAATAAAAATCAAAGCAGAAATAAACGAATAGAAATTAAAAAAATAATCCAAAACAGCAATGAAATCAAAAGCTGGTTCTTTGAAAAAATAAAATAGACATACCTCTAGCCAGGCTTACAGAGAAAAAAATGACAGAAAACACATATAGATAGGATTATAAATGAAAGAGGAGAAATCACAACAAACTCAGCAGAAATAATCAGATTACTATGAACACTTATATGCAAACAAATTTGATAATCTAGAAGAGATGAACAAATTCCTATAATAATATAATCATCCAAAGCTGGATAAAGAAGAAATTGAACACCTAAACAGACGAATTACAAGCAGTGAAACTGAGGCAGTAATCAAAGCACTCCCTAAAAACAAAACCCCAGGCCCAGACAGCTTCACAAATGAATTCTACCAAACGTTCAGCAGGGAATTAGTGCCTATCCTACACAAACTCTCTC